CCCATCGCCTCCATTACGATTTTCTTGTTACAAACGCATCACGAACCGGAGGATAACATTACCAACCTAATAAAATGATTAACCGATTAAGAGCCGGGCACGGCCTACGAGCGACTCGATTATTTTAAGCTCTGGTTTCGCTATTCATTTGTTTGTGATGATAATTGAAAACGTGCGGTTAAATGCTTTCCGCGTATATTTTAATGGAATGTAAACAGTTCATACGTGTGCCTGCTTCAGATTAATATTTGAATTTTTAATCGGGCCTCCTAGCCAAATAAAAATCCAATAAAACTCGGATTGGCCAAATTGGGTGGCGCGAACTTAATCGAAAGCTCACAGCAGCAGTGCGTCAATCATTTTTTTCGTCTGTTTTGGGGGTTTTGTTTAAGTGGCCATCTTGTTTTCATCAGCCGATTTTATTCCCGAGCTCCAAACATTGCAATGAATTGAGCATCGTTTATTGGGAAAAAGTGCACGCAGATTTTTACAGCAGACAGTTTGCATGGTTGAGCAGCTCAAAGCAGGGAACCAGACCAACTCAAAAACATAAAACCAAATAGCGTCACCAAGGAGGTCTCAAGACGAAGATCTTGCTTTATATACGCCCAAAATGGTCAGTAATATGTTGCCTTAAAAGTTTCCTACAAGTTTGTAAAGGTGACAAATATTTATCTAAACTGCCCAACTCAATGAACGTTTCACAGCAAAATTTGCCCAAACTTTTGAAGTGGATAACTTCTGATTGCTCCAAACGATTTGTTTTTGGTTCGTCAATTGTCTGGAAAGAATTAAGCTCCTCAGATGTATGTTCTACAGGGAGTCAAATAAAAAAATTCAAAATTTTGCAAAGATCGACATGCTCCTGATTGGACAAAAATTAAGTTTCGCTTTGTTAGCTCGAAACGGTTTTTCAATTTTTCGGCCATCTCTTCTGTTTACAAGGTGGTTTCAAAAAATCAACTCAATTGTCCCCGTGCTAAGCACACGTGGAAGCTAAAACTTCATAGACAATTTAAGACGAACACTCCTTATTCAAGGTTACATGAAAAACTACTCAAATCAGAATTTTCCAGAAGTCTGTGATTCTGAAGTGAAGTGAAGTTCACTTTCAAATTATTCGTTCAGTCGACTGAGAAGTTTTAGCTTCAACATGAACATCATATTATGCTAATCGCTACAAAAGAAAAAATAATACTGCATTACCAAAGAGTATATATTTTATGACCACTTTGTAAATAAAGGACCTGAGCGAAAAATTCAAAAACTTCTTTCGAGATACGAAGTCTATCTTAATGCCTGTGGCGTTGAAATACAAAAAAAAACGTTTTTTTGTCAAGCTAAACGCATATGGAACTCAGACCAATTTTGCATTGTTTCATTTGCCACCCTGTAGAAAATTTATCTAAAGTAGTAATTTTAAAACAATATCGAAAATTGTTATTAAGAAAAGTTGATCAAAACGAACACTGGGTTTAAATGTGTAATTACATACAATCTGCAAGCAAGCTGGCGCCCTATCTTCCATGTTATACACTTTCACCCCGGATTTGATCACACAATGAAAATGCATTCCAAATTGAAAACTTTAATCCTACATTTAGGAAGAACTACTGCGCTTACCGAAAGGGCCACAATGATTCTATATTTCCCATGGAAGAACACGACCAGGCATTTTTTGGAAAGTGCCAGTTCACAGGGAAATATTTTCATGGCAAGTTTCACGTTTCAACTTGTTTGGATAATTGCCGTAAACTAAACGGGTTTTTCAGCCAAAAGTAAACAACTGAAAGCATGTGAATCTGTCACCAAGTTTGCATTGTTTCTTTTGCCACCATGTATGAATTTTTCATCTGAAGCACTAATTTTTTGCAAAAACACGATTGTTCAAAATATCCTCCAGTTTTTCTGTTCTCTTCTACTCGGATTCAGACAAAATCGCCTTCGGGAATTCAAGCTTATTTAATTTTTTGAAACGATTTTTCCCGTTTATGGGACTGGAAATTTGTATAATCACATAAAATTTTATCAGCCCAATAAAAATGCAAACAAAATCGCTTGGTTCATCATGAATGAAGCACCGTACAAAATTTACTTGGTTCTCATTTCTACGATACTCAATTGAGCCCTTTGGCTTCTTTAACCGATCGTGCATACATTCATCATTAACTTGCTTTTGCGTTTTAACCGTCAAATTGTCGATTTTCTTCTGTACCATCAGTTGAAACTTTAGAGTTTGTCGTGCTGTTAGACCGTCGTGGAATATAAAAAACTCATCACTTTTAGGCAACGTGATTTTAAAAATATAAAAAATACATCTGTAAATTGGCTTCTTGTCCAAATAAATCACAATAGAAAACGTATATAATTTCGGTGAAATTCCCCGTTATTTGCCTTGAAGAAAGTGATCAGATCTGCGTCAAATATCGCAGAACCCCGCACTATGCAAAGTCTGTGTCATATTTATATTGTCTGGAAAAATATCGTTTCCAGTCCCCAGCGTCCCGGAAAAATAACAAACGACTTGCGCTCCGGATACAGGCAAATTGTCTCTGGAACGATATGGGGAATGAAAAGAAGCAAAAGGAATCGGCACTGTCGATTTAATATTTGTGTGTAGGCAAAATGAAGTGAGCAGCAGGCCTCCTCTATGGGGTCGAAATCATTTGTCAACTGCTTAATGGCTTGTGAATCGTTCCCCGTTTTACAGCCGTTCGGTGGGTGTAGCCACTTTATCATTTGAATATTATCCTTTTATGCATCGTTTCTGATATCGAGGAGCGGAGGATGTGCGCAGAACGGATCCACTTGGTTTTATGACCCCGAAAATTCCAGGGCGTTTTATAATAAGAATTCGATATTTTCCCAATAGAACGCGCCGATTGCTCGGAAAAGGAAAAACTCATTAGCTCGATTTCCTCTGCAACCGAAAGGATTTCACTGGGTGGTCGATTCTAATAAGTGAAATACGTGTGTCTATACGTAGAACATTATGAATAAATTATTTCTACGGATGATTATTCTATTGGCATTATGACACTCACTGTTTATTAATCAGCTAGTAATCAGCCAGCCACTCGTCATGGTTGGTCGATTAACTGTCATGTTTTTCTTTTATAGCTAGTTGCATGGAGATTCTAGCGTCTAGCGACGCGTTTAAATGTGGTCCTTCGAGCCGGATGGTCGGTTTTTGCTTGAAATCATTCAGTTCAGCAGCTGTGTTTCTATCTCTGTAAAAATCTGCAATATTTCTTTACCTATGCATTTTGTGCAGAATTACTAATAAACCCCACATACCGTGCCAATATTGGAAATTCGTTTTTTTCCACTAATTCAGTTTTGAAGCAGTCAGGACACTTTTGGAGGTTTTTTGGTTTAGAGACTCGTTAGGTTGCAATAATGCTCTCAAGAGCAAGTCTTTTGTGCCTAATTAACCGAGTTGCTGGCCGAATCACAAAATTGTCAAACTGGAAATAGTCCTTTATTGCCTTTGAATCATAGGTCAAATATACAGAGTGTTCGCCAAAAGCCGCTGCGATGGAAGCCAAAGCATATTCGAATTATCAGAAATTGGAAAACCGAGTTATTGGCCGAATAACAAAATTCTAAATCATTGAAAAGAGACGTTTATTGCCTTTGAACCGTAGGCCTAAAATACCTAGTGTTTGTCGGAAACCGCTGCACTAGAAGCAACGGAACATTAGAGTTTCCAGAAATTGGATTCATGCTCTCATCATCAAACCTGAACATTTTTGCTCACAATTATCCGAGAACCTGACCGATTCATAAAATTACAATGCCATTTAAAAAGCCGTTTATTGCCTTTGAACCGTGCCTCTAATATA